CTAGAATAGGCCACATTTCAACCTTCAACTTTGTGTAATTTGATTTGGTTTTTGAGAAAGCTATTTCCTTTTCTTTATGTGTTTGTAAATTCCACTGAATTGAGTGTTGATTACTTTGGTGCAGGTAATCTTTAGTTTCATGCAATTCATCTGAACCACTTGTCTGTTCAAACCACTGGTGTCAGAAAAGTTCAATCTCTCTCTCTCTCTCTCTCTCTGTTAATATTTTTTTATGATGAACTAAAATAGTTTGTATTTATAAGAGCCTTTCTTCAATCCACTATTATGCTCATTGTTTTTTGGCTTCCTCTTGTCACTGGTCACGGGGAACTGCTCAGTGGCTGCAAAGTTGTGTCCCAGTGTTCTAGCTTGTCCTGAAATCCATGCCTTCTGGGTTTCACTGAATGGTAATGGACTCTGAAGTCACTTGGCATGCCATTGGGTAAAATTTGTTGGTAATTGAGGTTTAATGTGGAACAGAAATTGGCGACCAAAGCAGAGAATGGCCGAGACTTCTGACCAAAGCAGAGACTTGTGACCAAAGCAGAGAACGGTTGAGACTTGTGAAAGCTACCAAAATTGCACAATCACCATGTTTGTGGAAGGGCCACTGCCCAGTGTAAATTGGACAAGACAAACAGGACAAACAAACAGCATTAAATTCAGGGTGCAAATGCATTACCAACCACTGACAGCCCATGACTCAACATCTTATCCCATCACGTTTGTTCAGGTAGCAAATTACCCATAGGACAGAAATTCTTCAGGAATTAGATTAGTTACACTAAGTTTGTATGCTGTCTGATTGTAGCTATCTAAATTCTAAACCCCAGAACATGATAAAAAGCCCCAAATAATCTGTTAAGTGCCATGCAGACCAACAAAAGAGATAAACTTGTCATTAATATTGCCAAAGCATAGCGATAAAGGCATTGTATAAAGTGAAGGTTATGGTAACTAGATGTTTGAGTGGGTGGGAACTCTTAAACCTTGGGTGTTTGTAGAAAATTTCTTTTTTAAGAGATCGTGGATGCTATAATGGACTGCTGTGTATGTAACAGCATTACGTATTTGATAACATTTGAGTGTGGACATTTTGATATGACTGATTTTCAAGCTGAGAAACTGAAGAGGAGGATTTACCACTGTGTAAATGGCTGTAAGAGAAATGACAAGCAGCCACTAAGTATTGGCAGGATTTTAATTGACCTTTCTCTATTGACGGTGATAATCTACTTGGCTGTCCCCTTGTACAAGTTTTATTAAACACTCTTGTCATTAAGAGATAACGTTGATTTTGGAGCTTGTTTCTCAGATGCAGGGATAACAGAACACGGAGAGGACTTTTCCATTGATGTCGTGAGATTTTTTTCATCACCACAGCAATATTTTTTGCTAATTAAGTGTCAGCTTATGCAACTGGAATTTAATTAATTTTTCCTTCTTGTGGAAAAGGTGAGAATCTTGGCAAATAAGTGAAAATGACATACTGTTGCTGACTCATCTTGCAAAGAATTTTGTAAAAGGAAAAGAGGTGATTTGATAAACTGCCAATGAATTGTTCAATAATGTCTGGACAGTCCGGTAAATATAGAATGTGGGTGTTTTTTATGTTTATTCTGACAATTAGCCCAGGAAAGGCATTACAACTAAACAAAACTCAAATTGACAGGCAAATTTCATTATTTTCAACTGACCTTGCTGACTTCTTTGAAAAAGTCCTGGGAGCAAAGAAGCTCCAAAAAATATATGATGCCGGAAAAAATACGAAATACATCCCTATGGAATCCAAGAATGTACTCCAACATCAATTACATAATGATCTAAGAAAGGAGCTTCTGTTGGTAGAAAACAGTTTGGATGTGCTGAAAAAACAACTTGAAGGTTCACATACACAACGGCATAAAATGCCCACAGTTCAGGACTGTTCCACTTTCAATGGTCCATGGTCTTATAGTGCCAAATTTCGACAAGGAATCCATTGGAAATCTTGTTTGCTGGACAGGAAACAGCAGGAAATAGACAATGTTATCCAAGAGCAAGAACACTTCTTAAAGGTATTGTAAAGAACCATTCATTTTTCAGGTTTGAAGTTGTTCAGTTTTAGGCATGTTTTTTAAAAATATATATTTGACTGCATATTCTTTCATTTCAGGTGTTTTACCACTCTGAATAAAGCAGTAAGCATTGTTATCAACAGTTTTATTTATTTATTTAGTTTTGTAAGATAGGAACACATTTAAGAAGAAAAAAAAAAAAAACAAAAATGAGGAGGACTGTTTATTTTCATACACTGGGGGTTTGGGGCCTTAAATGTTTCATATGAGGAAAATTTACATTTGGCAAAGTCTCTTTCTTTTCAAACTTTAAATTGAAGGCCCAATGTTTATTTCAATTTGAAACTGTGGGTGAAACTTTTCTGACAAAAATTTTCTGACAAAATTCTTTTGAGTTAAAAAAGCCCTCCAAGTGGTTTTGAAACTAAAGTAGTGTGAATGGCGTGAATTATTTAAAATATTTTTGTCTATTGCAGGAAAGTGTAGAGAACTCATCCTCTGCCTCATGGCATTATATTGTGACAGAAAAGGACCTGTACCAGTTTCCAATAGGGCAACAACAGAATACCTCTGTCAAACAGGCATCAGAGTTTTCTAGGTGAGCAAATGACATTTTCATCTGAACTGTTAGTTCACATCATTGGGCAGTTACGATATGTGCCAAAACAATCATTTAGAATTGTCTACCCCCACTTGACTGCCCTGACCCCCCTACCCCCACCCCACCCCACCCTCAAAAAAGAAAAGAAAATGAAAAATTTTCAAAAGCATTCTCTCCCTCTGTTCCCATCCCCCATTAACTAGAGTCATATCAGACTGCCAAAATTGACAGCATAAACCTGTTATATAAATCCTATGATGGCTAATTTTGCTGTTTTATTATTATTTTTTTTTTGTATATAAGTGTTTTTTTTCCCCAGATTCAATTCTTAGACAGAATAACAGAATAATTATTGAACTAATTACATGTGTAAATGTGCTCTTTTGACATTTTTTTTTTTTTTTTTTTGCATCTGAACTATTTTGGTTAGTTGATTATATAAAAATAATGGTAAATCTGTTATTGTGTATTGTGTATTAAAGTGTCAAAAATGAAAATTAGCTCATAACATTGCAGTTTGTCAGATTCAATCTTTCACTAGTTCAGGATCTCAGAATAGAACAAATTGGACACTTAAAATTGTTCTATTGATATTTTCTGATCTCAACAATTTGTAAGTTGATTATATAAAAAGGATACTACGTAAATTGGTTATTTTGAACTATATGAAAAGGTGTTGAAATGGGACATTTTTTCCTGCTTTATGTCTGTACATTTGACAGCATTGCTACCTTGTTTTTTAATTTTCTCTTATTTTATATTTGAATTCAAAACTTGGGTTTTCATTTGTCATATGGGAAATGTAAAACTCTTAAGTGCAATAAACACTTCCATAAAAAAGTGTTGTATAACCTGGTTGTATAACCAATAATTATCACCTAATTAGAACATAATCTGTCATGACATTTCTTTCAGATGTCTCCTAGCGGCCTCCCATTTTGGTTCTGCGCACCGGAACATGGCCATTGTGATTGCAGTGGCTAACATCACAATTTGGGAAGCCGTGATTAACACATTGGAAAATGTGTTGGAGACTTTATTTGATGCTGACAAGGTGAATCCATAAAAGGAAAAAACAATACCATGTACTGTTTTCATTCAGATATCATTATACATCTTTATAAACTAATTTGAATTTGCATCATAATTTTTTTGAGATAATTTTTTTTGTATCTGTGAAGACCTGACTTGGCAAATCCCATCTCAGTGGACCTGTTTCTAGTGAAATAAGATTGATCTAACTTGATATGGCCAATCTTAGTGAGTGTGTTTCTAGTCAAGTTGGGTTGATCTATCTTGGTACAACCAATCTCAGTGGGTGTATTTTCCAGGCATTTTTGATATTGAATGTATATATAGTGTCTGCATGTACATATTCTGATCGGTCTGTCTGTCTATGTCATTGCCATCCTGCTGTCCATCACATGACTTTCACCCTATACCTGCCAAACTTTTTTTTGTCTTACTTAAAATTAACTGAGTGGCTTTGTTTGGCAAAGAGGCAGGTTGCTTTTAAAATATAGCATGAATGGTTTACATTTACAGCAATTTTTTTTTTTTTTTTTTTTTTTTTGCACAACTGTGGTGGCGTTTGCACGTTTGCCCCATTTCTTCAAAACAGTATTTTGTTTTACTTAAAATTTACTGAGTGGCTTTATTTGGTGAAGAGGTAGGTTGCTTTCTAAAAACGGCATGATTGGTTTACATTCACTGTAATTATTCTGTTTTTTTCTTTTTTCATATTCATTTTTCACACATTGGCATTTTCAGTGGCTTTTATATCTCATGGAACTGTATCACTTGTTACCTGTACTTCATTATGTAAGAGGGTAAAAGTGATTATGCTGTTTTAAGGCATTTTGTAACAGTGCATCAAAATTTACCAAAACATTATTTTGTGCACTTTTTTTCTGCATAATGTCTGAACAGCTTTGCTGCCTTGTTTCCTGTATGGTGTCTGTATATTTGCTGGCTTTGCTGTCTAGTTACAAAGTAATTTTCAATTATCCTTTCTAGGTGGCACTTTTTTTAGTCAATGGAACAAATGTGGTATCACTACATGGTTGTGGAAACCAGACTTTGGAAACAAACAGATACAACATTGATGTTATAAAGAACAAATTGAGAAATGTTCATGGTCTACCAGGTAAGTGATATGTTAAGCGGTTATTTCTATCAAGATCATAATTTTACTCATTCGGTTCTATTTAGTGTGCCATATTCAAGTTAAGGAGAACAAGATAAAGAACAATTTGTTTAAAGACTACTCTGGTGTTCTGTTGATCATTAATCTTGGCTTCAACCAGCCAGTTTCACCATAGACTAATTGAAATTATGGATTATTTAAAGCATTTGGAATAGAATGAATTGCTTTGATTGGTTATAGTTTTCCAATACATGAAATTAAGTGCAATATATTGCTATTTTCAGAAGTTGTTAAGTCTGCAGATGTTTCAGAGGCAGTGAATTTAGCCTTTCAAGCTCTCAATACAAGTTCAACAGTTGAGGTAAGTAAAAATAAAGGTCTGCAATCTCTGATTTTCAGGTTTCATCAAATTTACAGTCAACTCTTCTTCCCTTGTCACCTTATTGCAAGACTATCATGGTAGTTGAAAAAACCCTTGTGGAACAGATGATTTCCTTGGCATTAGCTGAAATAAGCTGGAACAAAATTTTGGACCAAAGTGCCCTATCTATGCAGAGTTAACAGTATTTTTATTAACTTTTATAAAAGCCTAGGTAAAAAGAAACTGCCTTTTTTTTTTAACTTAAAACAAAAGTATCTCTTCTAGATATTGGTATGCTACTTTTTGTATAATACCAAAACATCTGTCAGGTTTGAAGTGAGCAGGATTTACTTACCCGATTTGATGTGTACACAGCCCTTCTATTTCAAAACTGTTTTACTTAAGTTTTTATCTTAAGGTATAATTGAAGAATGCCACAAAGTCTATATATCCTGCTATTTATCAAATATCAAATATCAAATATTTATCAAATGCAGACCTTTAAAATAATAAAACAACATTATTAATAGCATTGTCGCTTCTGTTCTTTGCTTTTAGCAAGGGTCACTACCAATTTACCAAAATGCACTGCTCTTCATCACAAGTGGTATTGAAGAAGGTGCCACTGAGGTTGTGAAAGCAATGGAGCAAGGGCAAGACCAACTTGTAAGTCAGTAGTTTCAAATGAAAAAATGAAGACTAATTATTTTAAGTCATGGGACGTATATATCGAAGGTTGTAACTTACAATGGTTTTTAACTATTCATGTGAATTTGTAAGTTACAGCATTTTGCGGATATGGCCCTGTGCTCCTATTGTCTGTGACTAACTCATTTGTAGTTATTTAGTGACTTCAAAATGGTCAAAAGTTTGAATTGGCATCACTTTTCAGATGAAGCATTTTTTCCTGATGGTGAATTAGCTTCCAGTGATACCACAAATTTCAAAAGATGCAAACTTTTCAGGCTACCCCTGCCTATCTATTCCTATATGGTTTAGACAACAGCACATTATCCAGTCTGGCAACAAAAGGCCTCAAAACAGTAGTTCTTGATATTTATGAGAACCTGGCAGATTATTACACATATTTGCCACCCAGTGTTCTTCCACCAGGACAGGATTATATTTACTTTGGACCACATTATGATTCCTCTGTAGGTGGGTAATGCTTGCATCTTAACACATAAGGCCCCATTCAGAATAGGGGACTATCTAGTCCGAGGGTCAAATATGGCAACCCACTACAAAGCTTGTCATCTTAATCCGCTAATAGACACTGAAAAGATATCCTGTGGGGAAGTATTCAAGTGGGTCGGCCACATTTGATCCTCAGACTAGTTAGTCCTGCATGATTTCTGAATGGGGCCTATGACTATTTATCAATTCGTACTTTATTGTAGTCTTTTTTATTTGCCTCTCTCATGAAAAAACTTAGATGGAGTTTAGAATCAGTACAATTGGAAATCTTTTCTAAAAGACTTAAGTTTGAAATGTTTACACCTTTGATCTTTAGCCAACAGTAAATTTAGACTTTTTAGTTGTAGCAAGGGCATTGCACTAAAACTGCTAAAATCTGAACAATTCCTGTGAAGAAAAATGCAAGGCAGTGTATTATAGCCTTGTTCAGTAGCTGCACATTACCCTTAAAATTGTATTAATTGATAGCTGCTCTGAGCATGGAGAAATCTTTGAAACAGATAATTACATTTTTACCCCAAAAATACATCCATTATAGAACCTGTGAATTGCAGAACAGGACATTTAGTGAATATATACATGTTAGAAGTATGCATCTGATCATATTTTAGCTATGTGAGCCTGATGACAGCTAGTGTTTTTGTAATGACAAGGTATTAATTTCCACTCCTAAAATTAGGCCCAAAAAAGGCCATTTAAAGTAATTTAATAATTTAAAAATCATTTTTCCACTGGAAACTGCCATTGAAATGGACTTGGTAGTGGTATATAGCTACTTTTTTCATTTGCTGGGTTTCCACTTTTCCTAGGCATGACCTTTACCATTGGGGCACCATTTTCTACAGAGAATGGCACAAAAGGGGTAGTGGCCATCGATGTTTCCGTGGCAACCTTGTTCAGACCAGTGCTGGGCAGTCAGCTTGGTGCAAAAAGTTATGCATTTGTTGTAGACAGAAGAACAGGTATGATAATGCCTGATTAACATATGTTAAAGATATGGCTGCCCCTAACTATGGGAATCATCCAGTTTAGCCTTAAGATTTTTATTTATTTACTTATACATATAAAGTTTACTAAGAATTTTATTTCTTTGTGCTTATGCATCTTTGAACATTGTGAGAGGGGTAACCCAATAGAGGAAGAGTGGCTGTACCCTCTACTTTCTGATTGTCTTCAACTAATTAACTAATTGATTAATTTCATTCATTAAATTGTTTTAGCATTAATGTGCATGTGCATTGAAATGAACTACATTTGTGTCTTTTATTATAAAGGGAATGTAATTGCCCACCCAAGACTACCATTACCCTCTGAGTTACTTACTGCGATACCGACCCTATATGTGACAGATATAGAGCCTCAATTACCTAAGAGTTTATTGCAAGACCTTTATAGAGGACATAGTAGGATTAATGTCACTGGAAAGGTAAATGATTTAATGATGGCCGGAGGATTTCATTTCAAGATACTTCTTTTGGAAAAGACATTTTAACCTATCAGACTTGATTGGAGATTTGATGACAATTTCTTTCAGCTTACATGTGTACTATTTTGCTGTTATACAATTTCACACTTAATCTAAAATGTGTTAATAATTTGTTAATTGCGTAGGTCTCTAGTTTCCCCTTGCATAAACTATGCGCATGTGCTTAAATAGTCAGTGGGTCAAAAATACATAATAGTAGATAGAAGTTATTCAGGATTTTGATTATATTTAAGGCCAGAAGACATGTACCAGATGATGTCCATGAAGAACTGATTTCAGAACGAGCTTTGTTTTCAATATCACCTTTGGAAAAATCACCTTTTGCAATCATCCTTGTTTTGGTGGATGGTGACACCCGAAGAGACTATAACGATGTATGTGGATAATATTATGCTGCTTTTTGTTTAAGATGAACAACATTTGTCCAGTTTAAATCTGAAGCAATTCCATCATTTGTTTATAACACAATGAGAAAAAAGTTGCAGTACATAAAATATGAAAATTTCTAAAGTTGCGCTGTTTTAAATTGAATTGTACATGATTAGTGCACAACATAATTCATCAGCACAGGAGAATTTTTAAATCAATAGATTAATTGTTAAATAGATTCATTGCTCCTGAAAAGTAATTTATAACAATAAGCATCAGTTTTGAGTACCCCAACTAAAATGATGATGAATACTTGTTTATTGACAGTATCACTACCAGCCAAAACCAGAGGCCTATTATTATCGCTATGACATATTAGATAACATGGGCAGAGACCCAACTTTGTGTAACAGTGCAGGCATACCAGTAGCAAAACATCAATCTGTAATTAAGGTAAGGACATGAATGCACATGTACTAACATGTGCTTGAGTGAATAACTTTCACCTCAAACCATAGATTCATTTTTTCCTTATGCAATTCAATTTGACGTTTAGAAATAACAGCTGGTAGAACTGTTGATGAATATTAACCACTAAGGGGTTGAATTAAGAGTTTAAATGAGCAATTTTGAGACATTTAAATTAGTTACAATGAAATGTTTATCAAAATAATGCACTTCAATTCCCAAGACCATAAGCAACATGGCTCTTCCAAGAAGCATGAATAAAGATTTCATGTTTGTTGCCCTCCCAAAAAAGCATTTTGGTGAATGACATTGTAATTTATTATCCCCATTTTCAGAGATGTATTTGATTTGACAAAGTTTCCATTTTCTTACAGTTGTCCCCAAATGTTTTTTGCGACCCTTTTTATCCATGGAGGAAAGAGTCGCGCACACATGCAGAATTTGTGCAGACATTTTTAAGGACAGGACGAAATGGCACTTTTCTGAGAGGTATGCATATTTCACAGCCAGAAATTGGAAAAAATAGGGTATCACCTATGCTGATAAGTTACCAAGTGAAATTCCTAATACCAGCACAGATCTGTAAAAATAAATGTGATTGATGAGGAATAGCATTTATTATTATATATTTGTAAATATGTGAATGTAAAGAGCACCTGTTTCACAAAAGGACCATATAGCCTGAAAAACAGTCTGTGTAAACTATAAGGCCGAAAAAATCATGTCCATTTTGACAAAATACAAAGCATTAAAAGTCCAGTAAAATGAAATACTACACCTGGTTTATAATAGGAGAGACGTGGCATATCATTGGCGGATTTAGAGGGGGGGGGGGGTCAGTTTTGTGAAACGGAGCAATGTTGTGAATAGAGTAATAGATAGGAGAGCAGTAAGGACAATCACCATACCCATCTAACTGTCACCCATCCCATCCTTCCATGCTGGATAATTCAAAAGTTTGAATTATAAAAAAAAATAAGAAAAATATGAAAATACTCTTTTGTTATTAAATCTAAAACACGAAGTTACACATTACAGCTAAATTTTATATTTTATGGAAATATAACTTTTAATTACAAAATGATAAGTTTCATTTAATTGAAGTCATGGTGCATGATCTACGACTTAATAAATACTAAATTCCTTTTCATGAATGAAGTAATTTTTCTTCTTAAAACTTCTAAATCTTTCTTGTTTTTCAGACCCCACCACTGCCAAGGCTATCTTAGTTGATACCTACAGATCTGATGAACTGGTTAGCACCTGGCGGGAGCATGACCAGTTACCTGTCCAGAGGTTGGTACACCTGCGTCCAGCCAGAATTGGGCAACCCCATAACTCAAAAGCATTGCGCATTACGACTCAGTGCAAGAGTCTCAATTCCATAACTCCCATATGGGGCGAGTATGGGTGAGGTGTGGAATTGAGACACTTGCACTTGGTCGCAATGCGCGATGCTTTAGAGTTATGGGGCCCTGATCTAACCAAAAATGTTTTTCTTATGGAAGTTGATCTGTGTAATAGTGTTAATCATTTTGAAGAATATTTTTTAACTTTTCAATTTCTACACTAACTGAAAGCAAACCTGTAGTGTGAATCATAGTAGAGGAAATGTTCAACTTTTCAATTTCTACATTTCTACATTAACCAAAATCATTCTTTCATTATTTAAATCCAGTCTGGTATTTTCTCTTAGATACCTCGGCACTAGAAATGGTGTGGCTCGCCTGTACCCTGGCCAGTTATTAGACGGCGGTTTTGACCCCAGAGAACAGCAGTGGTACAGAAATGCTGCAAGATTCTCACAGATCACTGTGGTGTCCTCAGAACCAAGTTTAATAGGACCTCCCACTGACAGATCTAGGTTGCTTTCTGTCAGCAAGGCCATTTATGAAGAGAGGTTTGTTTGTCTTTTGTCATAATGAATACACATTTGTCAAATACTTGCTTTTAAATCAGTAATTATCATTTATTATATTTTATTTTATTTATTTATTTTGCTTATGGGTTTAAGACCCCATTCCCAGAGATTAGATCGATCCAACTAGATTGACCTAACTCCCTGGGGGTTCAGGCTAAATAGCTGTCAGCTGAGCGGGCATGAAAGTTAATTACCCCCTTACAGCTTGTTGAAGGCGGGTCAGACATTAAAGCCAGATTATCTGATAGTAATCTAGTGAACTCCCCACGGGGATAGGTCGATCTCAGATCTATGAGAATGCGCCCTAAGAGAAATATTCTAAAGGAAGTTATATCTCTAAGTATTATATTGTGGCTATAATGGACCTTATTGAAATAAATGACAGTCCAAAATACTGTATGCGGACTTGTTAAAGGATTGGTCACTTTGGCACTGAATCTGTTGAAGGTGGAGAATATTTTTCTAAATAAAGCACAACCAAAGTCTTATGTTACAGTCATTGTACAGTTCTTATAATTCTACATTTCACTTTGTAGAAGTGGTATTTCCCGCCATTCTCGGCTTGACCCAGTTAGTGCCGTGGTTGGAGCTGATGTCAGTGTTCATTTACTCCAGTCACTCCTGCTGGAGAAGGTTAGCTTACAGGATCGATCCTCTTCTTCCTCTTTCTCCCATCTCTCTCTCTCTCTCTCTCTCTCAAAGGTACTTTAAAAGGGATGTATCTCACGATATTCATTTTACACAGGAAAAAAGCAGTTTACTCCAGCACACAAGTTGTTGCTCGATACATCCTTGCACTTAGATTTGATGTTTTATTCTTTTATTATTAAGTTGATTTGATGTATTCTAAATGACAGGCCAGTGATTTCAGTTATTAAGAATACCTACTTTCCTGTACATGTCAGATATGGAACAACCAACATTAATTTT